CAACTGTCGACAGAATATCGTCGGCAGTCCTCCGAGGGGTATCCCACGAAGGTAGATTGATCAACAGAGATGCGTGTAATCGAGAACAAGAGGACAACAGAGACACAAGAGTTAGACAGGTTCGGGCCATCAGCACGACGTAATACCCTACTCCTGTGGTCTGTTGGATTGTATTGGCTTCGTATGATCTTACGTGTGTTTTGAGGGGGTCCCTGGCCGCCTTATATAGTCTAGGGGGCAGGGTTACAAGTCGGTTAGATCTAGGAGGTAACCGGAAAGTAATAATAGATTACATGAATCATCAGATCGAACGTATCCTAACAGATCTCTTAGTATCTTCAGGATATCGCCCTTGATGTCTTACGGTGCACGCCGAGCAGTGTCGTGCACCGTAGGTCTTCGTCTTGTGGGCTGGACCGCCCCTAGGAGCGTAGCCCATGTAGTCTACCGTGGGTATCTGGGGTCGTACCCCCCGCAGTGGTGCTTTATGATCATGTCCAGTCTGTGAGCTTTGCGTTGGTGATATAAAAGAAGTTGGTGATCCAGAAGAAGTTCTTTGGAGGTTACAATTCAATAGAAGAAGAATCAGAGTTTAAGGCAAGTATAGCATGAGATCATCCTTGTTGTCCTATTCACCTTAATATCATTTTAATCATATGCATGTGTCTACCTTGACAACCGTAGTATTTTTTCTAGCTATTTGATATCCTGAATTCCTTGGCACCTTTGGGTTATTGCATTGGGTAGTAGGATGCTAGTGCTCAAACCAAAGCCATGATCTTGTAACTTGACTAATGGTATATACAATAAACACTAAAAGATGCTTTTTAGCAACATGAAACAAGGGGGTAGAGCATTGGGCTGTTTTTATGGTGCTCTAGATTCCTCTCCCTAAGGACTTATCTGTAAGTGATCATCCAGGACTTATAGTACAACTGTGAGGGCTACATGGCTCTAGCTTTAGCTTAGTATGAGGACCTTTTCTAGCTTGTTAGAGGTTACCTTTATTGGTGTAAGAATGGTTTGATGAATCGGGTATAGTGCGGCCTCTGTCCCCTTGTGTATAGGCTGCGCGTCATTGTGTCATCGGGAAGGGGGGCTCTACATCTATTTGCCGTGTGAATCTAATGGCCCTAACTTGTTAGACGAACCTTTGAAAGGCTTCATAGTGAACCCTGCCGACTTTTCTTGGAAGTGGGTCAAGAGATTAGCTACCTCAAGCGAAAGGGTAAATCATGACTCACAGTGAAAGTGTACAACCTCTGCAGAGTGTAAAATTGGTATATCAGCCGTGCTCATGGTCACGAGCGGCCTTGGAACCCTTATGGAATAGATGATGAACACTGATGATACGAATGATGAAGATGCTCACTAATGATTACTGCTTATGGTATTCATTATTCATGTTTACCTGATCATGTGTTTATATGGGCCTGTGAATAAACTTGTTGCTACCCAAGTGCTAAAAGATGACTCATTAAAAGCTAATCGTAGTTAAACCAGTGTCAACCTTTTGAGCCTTATGAACCCCATGATATATTTGTTGAGTACGACATGTACTTACGCTTGCTTTACTTTTTAAATCTTTGAAAAAATCCTGGATGGGTACCAGATTGCTAGTCTGGAGGAGTTAGGCTTGTGATCAACCAGTCAGTTGTCCCTGTGGAAGTGGAGTCTTCACCTGAAGATCGGAGTTGTCTTTCCACTGTCTATACTCTGAGGTTGTATTCTTTATACTAATACGCTATGTAATAAGCATTATCTTATGATATTACCCTTGTTTGTTGCTATATGTGAGATTTGACTTCCTAGGCTCACATATGGTGTGTATCTGGTTTTGTTCTTAAAACCGGATGCTACACGGACTATGGTGCACAACTATTTTTCTCAGCTATTCCAATGCGAGGACTATGTAGTTAATGAGGCGGTGCTAAATGAAGTCAAGCTGAAAGTGACATCAGAGATGAACCACTAGTAGAGAAACGGGCTGTAGTCTCGGTTCTCAACCCCCTTTAATCTCAGTTTTGGAACCGGGACTACGCAATCGGGACTAAAGGTCTTGATTTTTAGTCCCGGTTCCTCCAACCGGGAGTAGAGGTGTTTATTGGGTAAAAAAAAGTTGCAGCTGTGAAGATTCGAACCTACGACCTCCCACTTTAGCTCTTGCACGCGTTATCATCTCACCTACCACCACACATCTAACTTAGATAAGATACGTTTTCCTTTTAAATTCAGTTTGGAGACACCTTTAGTCCAGGTTCGTGTCTCAGACCGGGACTAAAAGTCACACTTTTAGTCCGGGTTCATGTCTCAAATCGGGACTAAAGATTCTCACACTGACGTGCCTCTGACACACCTCGGTAACCATTGGGCAGGGACCTTTAGTCCCGGGTGGAGCTACCAATCGGGACTAAAGGTTTCTCTAGTCCCGGGCGCGAAAAATATCGGGACTAAAGCCAAATTTCGAAGTGGATCAAAAGTCGTTTCTCTACTAGTGAACCAAGGTTTGCCAGCTCCTTTTTCTTATGAGGAAGTGAAGCACGCCCTCTTTAGTATTGGGGACTTGAAAGCCCTAGGACCAGATGGACTTCATGCAATTTTTTCTATAAAAGGTTTTGGCACTTGTTGGGTGATGATGTGGCACAGGAAGTATTGCAGGCGGTAAATTCAGCTTCTATTCCGGAAGGTTGGAATGATACCACTATTGTGAGGATACTGAAGGTTGACAACCCAGAAAAAGTGGCCCAGTTTTGCCCCATCAGTTTGTGCAACGTGGTTTATAAGGTAATTTCTAAGATGCTTGCAAGAAGAATGAAGGGGATTCTCCCTGATATTTTTAGTGGCCACCAAAGTGCCTTTGTGCCAGGGTGCTTAATAACGGATAACATTCTGATCGCATATGAATGTATCCACGCCATTAAGTGAAAGAAAGGAAAGCGATGGCTATGTGCAGTTAAGCTGGATATGCACAAAGCATATGATAGAGTGGAATGGGGGTTTTTAGAAAGGGAACATATCTAGTGCAAACCAACCTCTCCATGCAAACCGTGCAAACCAACTGCGGGGGAGAGGTGGGAGGGGGGATTTGCAAAAGTGTAATTACGCCCGCTCCTAATTACACTTTTGCAAATCCCCCCTCCTACCTCTCCCCCGCAGTTGGTTTGCACGGTTTGCACGGAGAGGTTGGTTTGCACTTGATACATTGCCTTTTAGAAAAGATGATGATCGGTGGGTGAGGCTGGTTATGGCATGTGTCTCATCTGTTAGATACTCGGTTCGTTTTAATTCTATAGAGACTGATATAATTACACCCACAAGGGGGATTCGGTAGGGAGATCCCTTCCCTTATTTGTTCTTAATTGTGGCCGAAGGCCTTTTATGTTTGATACAGCAAGTGGAGGAGAGAGGTGATTTGGAGGGAATAAAAGTGTGTAGAGAGGCGCCTATGGTGTCTCATCTTCTATTTGCTGATGATTCACTAATCCTGATGCATGCATATAAATCTAATGTTGATTGTCTCAGAGATATTGTTGGTATGTATTGCCAAAGTTCATGACAAATGTTGAGTGCAGCTAAGTCAAGTATCTTCTTCTCGGGTAACACAGAGGTAGAGGTGAAATTAGAAGTATGTGAGTCCCTGAATATTATGAGTGAATCTCTAAATGATAAATATTTGGGCTTACCAACCTTGGTGGGGGCAGATAGGAGTGATTGTTTCAGGCATCTTATTGACAGAATATACATGCGCATCAATGGCTGGAAGGAAAAGCTCCTAAGTATGGGTGGCAAAGAGGTCTTAATCAAATCAGTCGCTCAAGCCGTGCCAACATATGCAATGATGGTGTTTAAAATCCCAATTAACATTTGCAAAGGGATGACGGATGCCATATCGCAGTATTGGTGGGGTGATGATGATGATAAGAAGAGGATCCATTGGCAAGCATGGTGGAAATTATGCCTACCCAAATTTGAAGGCGGCATGGGGTTTAGGGACTTCAATAGCTTTAATTTGGCTATGCTGGCGAAACAAGTATGGAGATTATTATATGACCCAGATTCATTATGTGCAAGGGTATTGAGAGCTAAATATTATCCATACGGAAAACTGCTCCAAGCTAAGTTGAAAAGTGGGAGTTCTTTTACATGGCAAAGTGTGCTAGCAGGCCAGGAATGTTTTAAGCACGACTATATTTGGTGTGTTGGCGATGGTTAGCAAATTAATATATGGAATGACAATTGGATTCCTGGCAGCCATAATTTGAAGGTTCAAACTCCGAGAGGTAATATTTTGATTTCAACAGTGGATGAGCTCATTAATTAATCCACTTGATGGTAGATGGGATGAGGAACTGATTAGATCTCTTTTTTGGCCGGTGGATGTCTATCGGATCCTCCAAATTCCAATCTACAATGGGCGGGAAGATCTAATTGCCTGGCATCCTAATCGGAATGGACTGCTTACTGTAAAGTCGGCATATCATTGTCAGTGGGCACATAAGTTTGGATCCCGGAGTTACTCCCCAGCAGCGGGGGGTTTAGGGTCAGAATCGGTTTGGAAAAAGCTATGGAAGTTGTCAATTCCGGGCAAGGTTAAAATATTTGCATGGCAAGCACTTCATGGTTGTATTCCATGCCATGTGACCCTGACGAATAAGCATATCACGAATGTTGTGAATTGCCCAGTGTGCCAGACGGAGGCGGAAGATATAAGGCACATCTTGTTTTCTTGTAGCCGAGCAAGAGAGATCTGGAGCTCCTTGGGCGTCTGGCACCACATTGAAAAATTATTGATGATAGATAGATCTGGTTCAGCCCTCATTCAGGAGATTATTAGGAGCGGAGGCTAAGAAAGGGAACTCAAGTTAGGCGGGGCTGAGCTTATTCTCACTGGGTGCTGGTATATTTAGTGGCAAAGGAGACAACTGGTTCACGGGGAACAAATCCAAAATCCACCAAGGTCAGCTTTGTCCATTGCAGCGGTTGCAACAAATTATTTCAGTTCAGAGTCGCTTGTCCATCTCGTGGATCACAAGATCGAAGAAACCTATTGCCTCGCGCTCTGGGCCGTTCCTGCGTGCACCGAGCTGCTCCTTCAGCATCTTCATGACCCTCTTGCGTCCCTGAAGAGATGAATCAAACAACTCGAAAATTGTCACTTATCAAAGGCCAGGCAGATAGTGATCTATCTAATAGAGTAACAGATAATAGATGATTATTAGTTTACCTGCATGCATCTGTAGAAGGCTGTGCCGGGAACACAGAGTGGGAACGCCAGCAGCACCCTGGTGCACGCGTCGAAGCACTTCCACAGGCTCCGTTCCATGGCCGACCACAGGGGCTTCCAAGAAACGGCAAGGCATGATTGGGAGGGAAGCCCATGCAAGATGGACGTGACTGAGGGAAGCCTGACGTAGCATAGTGCAGGATTGGAAGGTCGATCCCTCATTGATTGAAGCTGCGTGACTATGGCCGGCGGCTACGACGGTGACGGCGGCCGGAGCTTGGCTAATACCACGTGAGATAGGATGGGATGACAATATAATTTATGTTTTCCTTTTCAATTAGATCTATTATTATGCGTGATTTTCATAATGACAGGTGGGTAATTTTTTCAGAAAAACTGAATAGATCTAATAGCTATTAAAATTAACGATGATCAAATTGATGGCTAGATCTTTCTAATTATTATGAGAATTTCTATGATTTTTTTTCTAGCATGTCTACTGAGAATTAACGTTGTGGCTCCATTGGGGCATCCAATTAGTAATATTAAGATAAAAAAGGGCGTGGCAATCTATGCTTTAAATAGTCGACTCTGGACATTTCTAAGAGTCTTTCTTAAGCTTCATCTCTAAATCCTCATTTAGAACAGTGATATGCCATAGTGCCGTTGCAGTGATGCCACGGTTGTCAGAGCCTCATAGGGTTGGCTGTTGCTCATCTCGAGCAGGTTCTATGTAATTAGTTTTATAATTAACTCATGTTTAGTCCTTCTAAGTTAGTATCAAACGTCCGATGTGACACGACTCAACTTTAGCCCTCTGGATCTAAGACAGCCTAAGACGATCGACGGTTACATGTCACTTTCGAGTTTCGATCGATGATTTTCCTATTTGTATAGCCCGTATGATGTAGCTAGCCGTCCGTGTTGTTTGCGATGGCAGGACTCGTCAGGCAGAAGTAGAGGAGGACCATGGTCACGATGGACCGCACCTTGAACTTGGCCTGCGCGTGTATAACAAAAGCAACACATTATTAATTGCTTAAGGTGGCCCTCTTTCATGTGGTCAATTTACTTATTTACAAATAAATAAGAGTTAAATGCATCAGCAGCGCTCGAAGTTATAAACGTGTGTCATATATGTCTATGAACTTTAAAAATACATTTTTAGATCCTAAACTTCTTAAGTAGTGCACTGTTAGCTCATATCAGTTATGTGGACATTTTTTTTTTCTGATGTGGCATGCTAGCATGGCATGTATTTTCATCTAACCCCTCACATTTATTTTTCTCGTACAACTAGTTTAAGCAACTACTCAATGACCTCATTGCACCGCACATCCAAGTTTAAGCAACTGAACCTCACTCAATGACCGGTACTGCTGAACCACTCATGGTTATTCGTCCTTTCCAAACAAATGCTACATTGGTATATACCCGAAGAAAATTAAGATCCTAGTTTTCAAAGTGGGCATCCAAGTGGAGCTCCACTTTGTTCAGCGCAATGCATGCAGGTCTCCGAACCACCCGAAGCGCTGTGCTTTTGTTCTACTTTATTGTTCTCACACAAAAAAAAGGCTACCGGCCACTCTTCTTGGCTTGCTTAATGATATCATGGCCATGTTTGGTATAACTTATCTGAAAAGCGCTTCTTAGATAAGCTGCATAAATAGAGTAAAATCGGCGGTCAAAATAAGATGATCTGATTCAGCTTCTGCTTTTTAGTACAAATAAGAACTGTGAGAATAAGCGTGGCCAGAATAAACTGCTGAAAAGCGCAGCGTTTGCCTATTGATTTTAGCTTATTTTTGCCATAAGCAGCTTATAAGCTGTACCAAACAGCCCCATATCATGCCTTTTCGTTTTTTTTAAAAAAAGATCACATCATGCTTTAGTTAGTGAAATCGATCTCTTCGTCACCCTGTTTCTTACCGAGTCAAATCATGACGGTATATTAGATAGATTTTCAAAGCGATAAAGTGATCCCTTCTTTAAAAACAAAACTAGTACGGACCATTGTACATAGATATGTTGCATTTTATTTTTTTTATTAAACACATAAGCGTGATTTAAAAATGAATATGCTTCAATTCGTCTCCTTGTGGTAGTGACATCGCTTGATTTTTTTTCCTTATACAAGATTACATACGTGAATGATGCATCCAGAGCCATCAAGACGTGTGCCCTACCCTCGGTAATGTTGATTTTGCCCATAAGGGCATATGCCCCCATGGATGTGCATATGTCGACGATGCGCCTAAAGAACCCGTAGCGACAGTGTCAATGACAAGGGTGCCGATGGCCGAGACCGGATTCGAAGCGATAGATGGATGGGGTGATCGGGACACTCATCATCGACACCAACGCCGAGGCTTCAGCGGATGAGGAGTAGCAGTGAGGGGCGGCGCCGCAGAGCCACACACATGCGCATGTCTCCTCAGTGATCGCTGCCGCCTTTGGCAGCGAGGAAGACAGGGCGCAGGCGATGCGCCATTGAGTCGTCGCGCAGGTAATAATAAAAATGCCATCCCCGCTAATTTGAAAGGTCAGCAGGGGAGCCCTCTATCTATTTTTTTCAATTTCATATATAGGGAAAGAACAGGCATAGACAAAAGAACAAACAAAGAAAGAAGAAAACAAATATACAAGAGGTACAAGGCAACCAGCCCAAAAACAAAAAGAAGGAAGCATTATAAAGTGTAACGAGTTGCCATCCCCGCTGCGCTAATCACAAGTTGCTATATTTTGTATCACTGTCGTAGGTATAACTTATGAGCCTAGGGCCCCGTAATCTATACTTTATACCTTTTCTATATCTATACCTAATACTTCTATATCTATACATAATACTAAAGAGGCAAAATTTCTATCACTAATAATTTTTCACTCAAACCAAACACACCCTAAAACTCTCTCTCGATAAAGTGGTAACGGAGCTATCAATACACCTTTTTGAATTACTGGAGATGTTTTTTTCTATCACCAATAATACATGGGCCTCATTTAATGGGTAAATTTATGTTTTCTCCCAATGCAATTAGGAGATAAAATCCTCTCCTACCGCGAATGCTCATTAACAGGTACATCAGAGAAAACAAAACGATAATATGTTGGCGGAGTTATGGTTGTTTATGGTAAAAAAAATTCGCTTCAACACTCACAATAACTATAGATTTTTTTAGAGAGAAAAAAGAAGATCACTAGAAGTTGCTATACCCCGCCAAAAAAAATACAATTCTAGCACGGTGTCAATTATAGATAAAAAAGTCAATATTTATGATATCAAATAAATATTATTAGATTAGTTATAAAATGTATTTTTATAATAAATTGATTTAGAGTCATAAATGTGAATACCATTCACTAGAAACTTGATCAAACTTAAACCTTTTTAACTATATTCTTGGACAGAGGTAAAATTACCTAGTAAACAGAAAGCATCTTCTAAGGCAAATTTTCTACCACTAATAATTTTTCGTCCAACTTAATACTAATAAAGTAACTCGGTCTCAGTCATCAGCCCCAGCAAACCGTGTCCATTTTTTCTCCGTGAACCAACGTTCCCGTCCACGTGTCCTTCTCCTGTTTCTTTTCCGTTTCCTCCGCCGCTCAATTCTGTACGTGACTTTTTTTCAATTTGTATCCCCTATTTTTCCTACGAGAAATCGGACAGAACACGGGCAGAAAGAAAAGGAAATCAATGTAGGGGTTCCAATCCAAACGTAGAGCAGAAGGAATAAATATCTAAAATCAATGGTAAACAAACATGGATTCAACGTTCCAATAATAAAGCAACACAGATCGCGTCTCACAACCCTTTTTCGAATCGAGTATAACTAACACGGACCTACCAGAGCAAGGTAAAACAAGGAGAAAATATAGAATAAATCGAGACAACTATAAATAAAATCTAACGACATAATCACATAAACCTGTCGTCGCATTGGTGCTATGTCCTGGCATCGCGGTCGCTAGGACTGGGTCCGCCACGACATCCGCTCGAGCTGTTGGCCTGCCACACCGCCCACATGGCGGCGCCGCTATAGCCAAGTCGCCGGCCTGTCGCACCACTCGTCCACCGCGCTATGCACCGTGGACCTCGTGGTGGCCATGGTAGGCGGCTGCTTGAAACGGCTTGGCACATAGCAACAAGGCCGTCGTCGCTTCAAGCCTATCGCGCCGTAGTCAACACCTTGACGCTAGGACCCACCATCCTTGCACTCTGGGCGGCCGAAGATCCCTCTAACCCACAATGCCAGGACCCGCTCATGTTGAAAGGGGCTCCACCATAACCTGCTTCACTGAGCTTGTGGACTAATGCCACGCCGAGGTGCTCCAGCAGGAACTACTCTGGAAGCTCACAATGTTAGGGTTGTTGCAAGGGGCTTGGAGGAGCTCGCCCCAAGCTCTACTTTGTGTGCATGCTCACCTCTCCCAAGCAGCAAGATCAGATAAAATAGAGATAAGAAGTGGTTTCCCACGCATTAGTGTGCTCGAGTGCTCATGGACACGTGAAACGCTCCTGAAATTTACGTTCAGTTAACCCTTAAAATTTATTGACTAATAGTAACTGTGTCATAAGATAAGATGCCTTTTATTTTGTTCCATACAAGTATAGAAAAGACAACGAATTACTCCCTCCTTTCCAAATCATTGTCCATTACGTTTTTAAGACTGTTTTTTTCGTTGTAACGCTCGAGCATATTTGCTAATTAATTAATATATTAAATAAAAAGGTAAAATTTCCCTCGACCCTGATTTTCTTCCGGCCCATTCTTTGGCCTAGCAGCCCAACCCACAGTCGCCGCACGCTCAATCCTTCAGCCCACGCAGCCGCTTCCCCATCTCTTCTCACGCACGGGCGCGCCTCCCGTTCGTCTCTCTCTCTCTTCTCATCCTCCCTCTCCGAACGGCACCAGGAATTTCTCCCGTCCTCTCCAGTGCTTCTCTGTCTCCGAGCTGTGCCAGGGCTCCCATCGCGCTCCGTTATGCGAGAAAACTAGAAGTCAGGACGGAATCAGCTTGGTTTAGAAAATAAGAAGTTGAGAAGACAAGAAAAGAATAGGTGTGCCTTCGGTGATGGGAACCCCCGAACCCTAGCC